TACAGGCCTCTTACATGCCATGTCCTCCGCATCCTCCTCCCTGCTTATTTGGAGCGGTGTTGCCAGGGAAAGATGAAAGCAGGAGAACCAAGCCCAGGCTGGTCAGCTGCCAAGTGCTGGGGCCTCCAACTCACAGCTCCGGCCGCTATAGGAGTAATTAAAATTCTCCCTGTGGTCACTTATATTCCTGTAAATCTTTTTTGTTGGATCTTTAAAACAAAGCAGGATGGCTGGATGAGAAATAAATACAGGCAAGCCCTGAAAAACAGCAGCTGGAGTCTTCGCTCAGCTAAACTGGGCTTCTGCAGGGCTTTGGTATAGCTTGGGGCGAAGCCTTCTCCCACCTCCGATTGTTTGAAACGTTAGGCATTGAGATACACGTGACAGAAACGCGTCACCATCACGGACACCTCTTTCGATCCTTCAGACAGTGTTCACTGATGTTTGTACTAACCCGTACAAACAAGCCCGTGCCCTACCGAGTCTGTCGTGGGCCACATCCTGGATTCGCTCTGGGAGGTGAAAGCCTTCGCTCCCACTTTCTCCAGCCGTGTGGCCCCCTCCACTGGGACCGCGCTCCTGACCCCCCAGAGGCGTTTACTAACCATCCTACGTGTTCTATTCGTGCGTTTTGCCTTCCTCCATGCCCGGTTGCAGGTGTGAATCCCCATCTTCCCCTCCAACGCCCTTCGGCTGGGGTCAGTGCTGGGTGGCTGTCGGCGCACAGGTTGAGTTGCCCAAAGTGATGCTGCGGGGGGCGAGCGGCACGGTCGGCAGCGGGAGGACACCCGTGCACCCTTCCCAGCCCAGGGCTCGGCGTGGGGGCAGCCTCGGGGAAGCCTGGAGGCCGGCCGGCTGGCGAGCGCGTCTGCTGTCATGGCACAGGGCAGTCGCAGGAAGGGAGAGGGAGGCAGCTCAGGGCGCACCTGACGTTCCACCTCTCCGGGCAGCTCCCAGCTCTCCGCACGCACTCACGTGAGCACCGCAGAGACACTTTGTCCTTGCCAAAGGCACGACCCAGAGAAGCACCGTCGTGCAAAACTGATCCCCAAAATCGATGGAATACGTGTGTGTTGGAAGAGGTGAGGTATTCTTATGGTCTTGCTGGATCAGGTCAGCTGCGCGATCCCATAGTTGGGATAATTAGGGAGCGGTGTATGTGGATATGGTGGCAGCGCTGGTGACCCGAGTGGTGACAATTGCACGGAAGGGTTGATTGTTTCGTGACTAGGGGCAAAATTTCTGTTCTTCCGTTTCTGTTAGCAAGGATACCCGTAGTCAGCGCGTGGTGCTGCCTGTGCTGCGAGAACTGAGCAAGCTGTTATTCCGCTGCGGCTTGCCGTGAGCGTGTACTGCAGCTCTGCGGGCGCTTCGCCACACCGGGAAGATGCAACAAACCTCTCGGGGCTGAATTTATTGTGGGGTTTTTTTTCATCCTTCCACAGATCCTTAGAATTTGCACAAGATACACACCGGAACAGGACACCATGACCTTTTCAGATGGCCTTACCCTGAACCGAACTCAGATGCACAACGCCGGCTTTGGCCCGCTGACGGATCTCGTGTTCACATTTGCCAACCAGCTCCTGCCTTTGGAAATGGATGACACAGAAACGGGTCTCCTGAGTGCCATCTGCTTAATCTGTGGAGGTATCGTACGGGACGAGTTGGGATGCCTTTGAAAAGGACAGACATGATAAGAGCTTCCCTTTTGTTTAACTTGTTCTGCTTTCCTGTACTAAAACACCTATATAATATATATGTAATGTTACATAAACCACTTAACACTGAGAGTCTCTTTTCCACTGGCGATAGCTGCTGGTTTTATTACTGATGGTGTTTTTGAACGAATCGAATCATTCTGTCAGGCAACCGATCCTGTCACTTCCCTGATAAAGGACCACAGGATATATCCTCTGGATTTCTTTAAAAGGGGTATATGGGTGCCTGTATGAATGGCCTTTTTCAGGGCCCGACGCCCATTCCGCAGCTCTTGCCCATAAACAGTGGCATGCGTGTGCTTACAGCTGCATCCACACAGAAGTCGTCGGTGATGATTTTCTTTAGGGAAAAAAGAATGTGTTATGCTTCGAAACGAGCAGGGTGGCACTGATGACATGATGGGGGGGCTGATTACAACTTGACAGGGGCGCTGTCACGTAAAATTGGGTTAAAATCATGGCTTTAACATAGAAAAAGCAAAGTCTCAGCTAATTTCCAAACTCCTCTGCAAATTTCTGTCGAAATTTGATTGAAATTGCAAATTTCAATCGCGTAGTCTCTCTCCTTTGCAAAACCTGGCCTGGCAACAGAAACACACCTTGGGCCCGTCTGTTGGAACACAGACTGGGCGCTGCTAGCGAGTGGTTAACAACCGAGAGTCGGGGGTGCTGGCAGGGCCCTCTGGTGCCGCATCATCCCCCGCTTGGGTGTCGCCCACCGTAACCCGCCGGCAGCACCGAGGGGTGATGGGTGGCACCGCGTGCATCCTGGTTTGTGGGGGAGGGCTGCTGTGGCTCAAGCTCGCACTGCCATCTGCCGATACCTGAGGGGAACTCGCGTTCACTGATGGCGTGGGTACAGAAAAGAAACCAGCTGGAATCTCTTTGTTACACCTCGGTGGGTTGTCGGTGACACGTGCAGCATTAACGCCGCGGTACGCGTGCAGTGAGGTGTGTCCCCTCGGAGGGGAACGGGTTTAAATTGAAAGTGGGGAGGTTTAGATTGGATATCAGGAAGAAGTCCTTCCCGGAGAGGGTGGTGAGGCACTGGAATAGGTTGCCCAGAGAAGCTGTGGATGCCCCATCCCTGGATGTCTTCAAGGCCAGGCTGGATGAGGCTTTGAGCAACCTGGTCTAGTGGAAGGTGTCCCTGCCCATGGCAGGGGGGTTGGAACTGGATGGTCTTTAAGGTCCTTTCCAACCCAAACCATTCTGTGATACAAGAGCCAGCTGGTGATTCTGGACCACTCCAGTGACAAACCTTTCCAGTCACCAAGGGAAAATTAATCTGAGTTTCAGTAAGCCATGGTTTGTCCTCTTCACACAGAA